GGTGGGGCGGGGTGTGAATATTGCGTAATTATCTCCGTATAAAAGTGGAGACCATCGCCCCACCTTCAAACTCTTCCTCTCCCCCGTCACGATGAGGGACCTCTGGTGAGTGTGCAGTGAACTATAATGTATTCTTGTAGTACTTACTAAAACTCATGTTTGTACTTTCTATAGTTCCTGTTTTATTTTATTCTATTCTATTTATTTTTATTTATTTATTTATTTTTTTACTGCGGTTTGTTCTCTTTTACTTTGCCTATTTCTTGAAATAACTTTTAATTCTTCACTACTTTCATTAATACATTTTATTGCTACTCTCATTAACCATATTGATTTTCCGAATGAACTTCATCTCCTCAGCACCAATGACTTTGTATTTGAATTAATTTTCCCACGGACCCAAGGTTTTTCAAAGGTCTGTCCACACAACAACCTGCTTTTAACGAACTCGTCTCTTATGCGAATGAGTGCATGGTTGTGAATTTCATTATCGGGAAAATTTACTTACGAAGAAATCTATAATTGAATTCTTATTAACGATTGCTTACTTTTGGTATCATTGTAAACTATAACATTAATTGTGGAATGTTAAGATTGCCATCCATATTTATTTGTAATATTATAAACGAATGATAAAAGTAACTTTTACAGAAAATTAATCAATGTAGGCCTATAAAACTCATGGATGAACATGAATCTAAAATGAAGCACTAGACGAAATCAGTAAGTTACAACCCTGAAGATTACAACAAACAATAAAGTGTAATCAATATTACACTGTAAACCAAAAATAATGCATTATTTTGACGCCAAGTTGACGGCAAACAGTCCAGCATGACCTCGCATGGCGCGCATTCTCTTGCAAATCAACCGTTCTGCCATCGTAAAACCGTCAAATTACATACAAAGCTGGCATAAACCAAGGTTTCCCGAGTAGGCCCATGTTATATAAAGTTAATTCTCTCACTATTTCTCCAGAATATTCTCTACAACGCCACCTGGATAGTTGATGTTTCCCGACATTGTTTTCAGTTTGTAGTCTTGTCTCGCAAATCATTTTTGTTTTTGGAAGTTTTGCTCCTTATAAGCTATCGCGTTTTCGCATTCTATGACTCACGCTCTACCTTAAAGGGTATTTGGGAAGGATAATTTTCGTTTTAATTTTCTTGATATGCCAAAATCGCTCAACAATGAACTAATGCTGGGATCATTATCATTACTATTATTATCAGTACTACAGCTACCACTACTATTATTATCATTATTATTACTTTTATTATCATTATCGTTATCATTATCGCCATAATTATAATAATAAAGATAATGATAATGATGATGCTTATAATAATGATAACAACAATAATGATAGTGATTATGATACTGTCAATATTGATCAATAAAATTATCATAATGATACATTTCTTAATATTAATAATAGTAGTGATAATAATGATACCGCTAACCATCATCATGCTTATTTGCTTACTATTTTCTCTAGTAGGCGTTTTCCGTTTTTATTGTTTATATTTGTATTTATCTATTTATTTATTATCTTTTTATTTTCTTCCCTTCGTCGTTTTTTCTCTTTTTCTTCGTCACACAAAGTCTGGCTCTGTGTCTATGTCCAAGTCTAAATATATCTCTATATATATCTCTAATCTGTTTGTGTCTCTCTAATTCTAGTGTTTTGGCTCTGTGTTACTCTTTGTCTTCTTCGCCTTTGTGTCTATGCCTCAAATTCTGTTCCTAAGTTTCTAATTCAATTCTTATGTTTCTAATCTTATTTCCGTTAATGTGCCTACTTAACTGTGCTTATGTATCTATGCGTCTTTAATTTTATCTTTCTTTTTTTTCTATTGCATCTATTCCCATTTTTTGTTTTCTCCAAATTCATTCTTTTGTCTCTATTCCTCTAATTCTGATTCTAATTCTCTGCCTTTACGGTTCTATCTTTTCATCTCTATGTCTTTATTTTAGTTTTATGTCTCTGATTCCGTCCTTTTATCTTTACCATAATTCCTTGAAGAAGAAATTTACCAATTATCTTCCCTTGCCTTTCTCTTCGTTTGCTCCGGGTCCTGTTTTATCGACTCCTTGTTCTTCCCTTGATAAAACTTTTTGGTTGATTTTTTTTTTTTTTTTTTTTCATTTATTTTCTTCGTTTTATTTGTTTCACATCTACTTCCCCTTCGCTTAATCTCTAATTATGTATATCTTTAATTTCACGTTACGGTTGTTATTGTTATCATTATCGTTATCATTTTATCAATAAATGTTTGTTATTCTCACTGTTTTTACTATGATTATAACTGTCTTACCCATTTTCATGGTTATTGATGATTATTGGTAACACTAATAACAAACAGCGTTAATAGTGATAATTCTAATGGCATATCTAAACATAAATAATAATATGAGTGGTATTACCATTGTTATCATCATCATTATCATTATCATTATCATTATCAGCATAATCATTATGAGTACCATTCTTATCTAG